GTTAAAATCTTTCATATAAAAGCAGTGCTGAAAAGGCTATGATAAAACAGTTAAAAAAATGCCTTCTCCCTTTAATACATAACATGCACATTGAAGCTAAAACTGACTATGGAAACCGACTGTCATAACCCTTTCATATTCAAATTTATATTCAAATTCACCATGGGTAAATATTCTTTCATTTACATATATACATGAATAATGTAATTTGAATATTTCTCAACATCTCAGTCACTAATTAGAAAAAAAAAAAAAAAGACTTAACTCTGCAAAACAGTCAAAAGTATGTCAGATATAATTTTTACCTAACAAAAGCTTCATTTCCAAAGTAAGCACAACCAGCTTTGTTTGTACTAAGGCCACCTTACAAGCAGCTTATCTTCTGAATTGCTGAGTCAACTTTACTGCCTCACTTTCAGTGTTCTCTTCCTGTTCCACAAAGCAGCAGCAGCACCTACTGCTCTTTGCCCCCACATATATTCTGCTGCTTTCCCCTTTCATGCAGAATGCCAATCAAAATCTGTTCTCAGCTCTAAACAGTTCTGCCACTGCAGGAGACAAACAAGCTGCTTTCAGTCTTCTGTACTGAGAGAACACGGTGGTTTTTATACCTTCCTGATGAACACCTGACATCTCCTGCCTCAGATGCAGTTAGCAAAACTAACCAGAACCCAGCTGTATTCCATATGCCGAGTGAAATCATGTGGAAGGACGGTGCTGCCTTTAGTGGGCACTAAATACTTAGTAATTTGGCTTGGTATATTTTTTTTAATATTTATTTAATTTTCTTTTAAATCTTTGATTGCTCCTTGCAAAACCTCTGTAGTGACATCTCTACATTTTACTTTCCCTACATTTTACTTTCATTTCCCCACAAATATATCATATCCCACTTGCTTTTTATAGAGTGCAGTCCTTAGCAACTGTCTCCAGTAAATTACTACCCGAGTGTTGCTCGATTCATTAGCGATTATAACCTTTGGGAAGCATCCTGAAATTGTCCCATGACTTGAAAGGATACAACTATTCATTTTCTCAGCAGAATTTGCCAGGTCACTGTGCACTCCTTGTTCTGTTTCAGTGACTCCATGGACCAAGGCTACTCCCAGTGCTCTTCTCCAGCTCAGGCTGCCAATTAAGCTCTTCAACACTTCCTATCTGCTATTAATTCTTATAATCTGCAACCATTGCCCAATTTGCTGCCCTGCTTAACAGTTTACCCTGGGATTAGCTTCCTAAGAGTGACCAGATCCAAAACATTTACACAGATTATCTCCGTTGCTTGTCGGTATCCCCAATATCCTCTACTTTCCATGCATACATTGTTTAAGATAACACTTATTTAATAATTCTGTTTGGCATAATCTATCATTTGTAATCTTTTTCATAGCCCCATTTATAACAAATTCTGCAACTATCTGCTTTAAAGTGAGATCTGGGAAAAAAAAAAAACAACTTGGTTTAAAACTCAGAATAATTCCTCTCCTCTGACATCTTAATCTGACAAATACTTGGTTTGTATTTGTATTCCATTTGATTTTATGAAAGTGGTGAAACAGAAATTTTAAGTAGAAGGAATGTAATATATTAGAATTTCAAGCTTGAGCCTTTGAAGTCCAAATGACACACTGAGTTTTAAAGCAGCAAAGAAGCTGAGCAGATTTTCACACCGGGGAAAGAAAACATATCTGATGACTAAATACTTGCCCACTGTAACACATAACACCACTAAAAGTAAATATAAACAGCTTCAAAGTTGTATTTTGAATGAAACGATGCTGAAACGCAGAATTCAGAAATTTTTACTCCTAAAAAAAAAAAACAAGGCAAGCAGCTTGTTCTGCCAAGTAAGCACAAAAGCTTTAGTCACTTTTAGCTGATGTGCAAACAAAACACGACTTGCTATCTGAAAGTTGAGCAGAGCCAACAGTATTTCCTGCCCCTCATGCAATTTTCCAATGCTTTTGAACTGCCAAGACAACTACCCTGACATGACAATTTCAAGAGGCTGTGCAATGCTTCTGTCACTTTGTTCAAGAAAGGTCTTGAATGTGAATACAAACCCTTTACCATAATTATTTATAATTAGTCTATATATTTATAACAGCATCAGAAAGCTACTCATAGTCCCCTAAAATTATAAGCCAATTTCATATCTTTCAACCTAAATATTTCAGAAAAATACATTTTAGGAAAACTCTTTATTTTTTTTTTTAATTAAGGGCATGATTAAGGGAGAAAAGGGAAAAACCACAAAAGGGAAACAGAATGTGCAGTGCTTTGTTTATTATTGACTTGTATGACTTTCTCTGCTGTATTTCTCATCTCAAATGCTCTTTCATCTCTTTTAACCAGTCAGTCCTGTAGCAAAAGTGAACTCCTGCACACTGCAAAGCCATTGTCATCTAGGCCTCTATTAATAAACTCTGCTTCCTCTTTAATCTTCCCTTTCACCTCAGCCCAGCAGTTCACAGCAGCATACTCTGGTGTCCTAGCCTTTAAAATAAACATCCTTCACAATTAACTGTACAATCCCTCTTTAAGCAGGCCTGAAGTATCAACAGTTTACTTGTGAATAAGGCCAAAAATGGTCATGTCTCAGGATCCTGCAAAAAAATCAAGCCTACTCGGAAAGAGAATTATTTAAAACCAGGAAAACTAAGTAAGAATTCAAGAAGAAAAGAATGATAAGAAAACAGATAAAATAATAATGCATAACAAGACATATATTAAGGTGTTTATCTCTAAATATATTAAAATATTATGTTATTAAAGCCAGTAAGAAAATGGTCATAAATATGAAATTTCTAAACACAAATGAACACTAAATTATCTTCTGGCAGGATTAGAGACTGAACAAAAATAAATCCACTCCACTGCTGCCATTGGCTTTATTTCTGAATATATCAGTATACTGATAGTCAGCAGGTATGCAAATGACAAAGGTCCAGTCTTTATAACAGACAAACCATTTCTGAGACAGATGTGCTTTGATTCTTTAGCAGTCTGCAGATCATCTAATCCCAAGCGTGGGGAGAACCACACCGGTGTACAACATGATTATACAGGTCATAAATATTCATCCTTAAAAAAATGTCCAAATGCAAAAATACTCTTTGTCTTCCTCACCTTGTAGTGTGGCACCTGATAAAAGCAACTCAATCCAAGTGCAAAAGGCTGACACATCAACAACTCACATGTCGTGCCATTTAATTTCCCAGGAGTTTGACAGTAACAAACCCCCTCAATTTATTTAACTCCCCCCACCACACACACACCTTTTCTAGAAAGGTACAGATATTTCATTTAAGAAAATTAGATATTCCAGAGACTGGTGCTCTTTTCTGCTCATCCTGAAACCATCAGTCCCACCCAGTGGCAGACGACAACATCATATGGAAACAAAAAAAGAAACCATATAATGACCTGGGTATTTTAGAAATTATGGAGGAGGAAGGGTTAAGGAGAGAAGGATGTAGGGGAAGGAAAAGGAAAGCCAATAACAGCTGGAATGATAATTATTTACCAATTAAGAAAGCATTGTTAGCAAAAAGCCATTGTTATGCCATTGTGCTCCCAACACCCCCAAAGAATTCTTCCCCAGCCAGAGCTGCAGGCACAGGGTGCAGCTCCAGCCTAAACAAACACCAGTGAACTACCACAAGGTAACACTTTTCTGAAGTGGATCTGACAGTGTAGCAATGTCAGACGAGGACACTCTCTCTCCACCCTTTCCCTTTTAAAAATATTACGGAAGAACAAAAACAACAAAAAAGTTCGATATGCCCATGCTACACTGTAACCTCACTGTGCATCAATTAAAATGCTCCTTATTGCTATCCCCCAGCACTGAGCACTGCTGTTCTACAGAATGTACAAAACCCACTTAACTTGCTGCATGACTTGCTGTTTTTCATCTGTTTCTTCTCAAACAGCAACCTGTTCACCCACACACACTTTCCCTACTCATGTTTAAGTGTTTAAATATCATCTCCTTGTGTCTACCTTGTTGTTCCGACCCATCACTCTCCTATTTGTATTTTTGCTCCAGCCACCAATTTTACAAATTGGAAATTCCTGGCAGAAATACATCCTGAAGAGCCACATGAAATGTCACTGGTGCCCTCTGCTTCGGGACTTGCTTCAGAGCACAACCAAGAGCAAACACACGAGTTCTGCTGGCTGTTCAACACCTTGCCTTGAGATAAACACCGAGATGCACACGCATGTATAACTAAGTAATACTTCAGAAACGATCCCTGGAGGTTTTACACCCTCAGCACACTGAAATCAGAATTTCTCAGAGACGGTTGAACTGGCAGCAGCTTTGCATTGCAGTGTTTTTGGTTTTCCATTAAGTGGATTGGAGCATCCAAAGGCTGGTCAAAAAAATGACAGCAAAAATCACACAGAAAATTGAAAGCCAGGCCCTACCAGTGGTGCAGTTTCAACACAAACATTTGGACTTGATTCACCACCTGTTGTCACCTTTGCCCCTCTCAAGCCACTCTTTGTTTATGAAGACTGATGGCTGAAGACTTCTGAGAAAGGAATATATATACTCAAGTATACAATCCTGTGTCAGGACTTCAAGCAAACATGCCAATAAAATAGCCACAGTAACATAATTTTGAAAATGCTGTTAACTTTGAGGTCTTCTCTGGGTTCAGAGTAGTTGTCCAGCATGGCCACGAGCACCAATTACACTGTGTTTTAGCTTATACAAACCTGCACTAAGTTAAATCCTACATTTAGATTTTAGTGCACCCCCAAAGAACCCTTGTGGTGGATGCAGTGTCAGCTAACTGGGGTTCCTGCCAAAGAAACCTGGGACTGGGGAGGAAAAGACTGGATGTGACCCCATCTCCTCCCCGAATTTCACTCCTTACAGAAAGCTGAACTTAAACCCAGACTATTATTTTCCTGTTTGTGTAAGGGGTCAGAGGTGTAGGAGCATTTCAAACAACTAAAAATGGTGACAGACAAATGAATACAACTCTGGGCAGGCAGGGGACACCACCACAGGACAAGGCACACAGCACCGCCCAGGAGGAGGGATTTGTAAGTGTTTTTCCACCTCCATGGTACAGTGCAGCAGATCAGGTTGATCAATGCTGTTTTGTCCAGTTCCAAAAAGTGATTTGATTTTCATTGACATTTTCTGAAATTTAGTATTTTTTTCCTCAGTCCTTTGTTAAGACTTCGTCCTATGTTAAATTCATTAGCAATATTCCTATTTATTAAGAAAATTTGGTGTCATAATTATCAATCAAAGTAGAAGACTTAATATGTTAATGCAAGAACTGTCTTCAGAGCAATAATTGTTAGCTAAAAGCAAAGCTTGCTATTAGAAAAACAAAGAAGATAAAAAATGTCCTTTAGGTCTTCTTTTTCCTACTATGATATCTTCCAGTGATTCACTCTTAAGGAAATATTCTAACAATACAACTAAGATAGCTATCTTTTATTTTAAGAAAGGAGAGAAATATGAAGACCAACAGGAAGAACTGAATTAATAAACTTCAGATAGATCGTGTTCATAGAGTTAACTCTTATTATTGACACACTAATAAAGACCCTGCTTGAAAACAGGTTCTTATTGTGGCATAGCAACCTATTTCCATTCATTTAACTCAGGTCTGGGCCATGATTTATAATTAACTGTATAGAAAGAAAACAAAACAGCTTTACATATACAAAAGCTTCAAAGACTTAAAATCCCTATTGCAACAAAGGAACTTTAATAAATATGCCAAGCACTGAAGCCACCACTCACTGCTATTTTTAATTAGAGAATTAAATACCTCATCCAAAGCAACATGAGTATTAATTACCAAGATAAGGATCATTATGCAGACCTTGCAGAATGTACCACCAGAGCTGGAAGACCAGTCTCTTGTTTAAAAGAAAAAATGAAAGGAGAAAAGAAAAAAAAACACTAAGAAAAAAAAACAAACAAGCCCAAACTCCAAACAACCTCCATCCATACAGAACAGTCAAAAGAGGAAGGTGTCTATGGCATATGAAGGAATTTGTAGAGGGAAGTAGAAAAAAGGGATTATAATGTACCATCAAAATTAGTATCTTTGATAAGTCTACCTCAAGTACAATACGAGCTAGCAAAGGATACTATTTTTACTCAGAAATCCGAACTCCAGCATGACTACAACACACTCAATATCTCCACCTGAAAAGAGATGTATCAAAACTTTGCTTTGCTTTTTTTTTTTTTTTTTTTTTTCATAAAACCAAAACCAAACAAACCCAAACTGCCTTGGAACCACTCACTGGTGAATTCTGCTCACATAGGACAGAAACCACAGTTGTATTTCCCTTCTTCACATCTTTTTCATTACTTCCTTTTATATTTTGTTACCTCATACTTCAGAGAAGATAGTTAGATTTCAAAAGGGGGCACCCCAGACACCAATTTGAAAGTCAGTTTGCAGTGTACAACCGACAAGACATCAACTCTACTCTAGAAATGCAAATTTAGAAGAAGTATTATAATACTAATGTGCATGTTTAAAGGAGACAGCAGAAAATTCAGCAAGAAACAGTGTGAAAAGGGTGCTTCCACCAAGATGACATATGATCATGCTTTCCTGAAGATAACACATGTCAAAAAGGTAACAAAATTTGGCTATAATTTTCCCTTCACATTGAAAACAGGCTATGAGTGTAGCTGCTGAAATACTTCTCAACAATTTCTTGCACTGAATCACTTGCAAAAATTTCAATAAATGATAAGACTTACTGTGGAGGAACTGTAAGTATATAAAAATGAACAAGACAATGTCTTTAGGTTGAGGTAAAGTCTTCCTCTCATTCTGGCCAAAAAATGAAAGAACTTCCAACATAGTTGAAATACTGCTTACTGCTGCAAGCTGACAAAATGAAACATGCTTATTAATCACCTATCCACATTTATTTGCAAGTTAATATCTGTGTCATGACACAGTGACACTTAAAAATTGGCATGGTAGAGTTCATAACAAAAGCTGAACTGAAACTATATAATGACATACTCTAACCATACCATTAAAATCAACATGGAGGAGGAGTAGAAAAAAAAGGACAAGATGCTCAAATTGCCTCTCTAATTTAGTTTGATAGAATTGTGGCAAGATTTAATTCTTGATTTCACAAATTTGCTTTCCTCAGTTTTGGTTTTGCAGACCTTGTAGCCAGCCACACACACACACACACACACACATTGCAGTTACTGTGGGCTCAGACATGGCAAGAGATGACTCCCATTGCAAGACTTTCTTATTCCCTACTCAAACTTCAACTCTACCCCATTAAAAAAAACAAAAAAAGAGCCATACACAAATGCCTCACACAGCTGACACCTAATTCTTAACGTGGCAGCACAAAGAATAAATCAGAACAAAGGCACATTTCTATTAAAGTCCATCAGCCAGTTCCAAAGAAGAACAAATTTCTATGTCAGTAATAGGTTACAATCTTAAATTAAACAACACAAAAAAGTTAAGTAGAAGCAGCATCCTCTGGCTTCCCAATCACCTTAAACAGCCAAGCTTCACACCACTGTGGGCCACCCACTGATGGCATTCTTTGATGACACAGCATTGTTAATTTAACCTTCATCTTTCACCAGTAAAGTGCTCTGAATGCAAATTCAGATATATCTGAAAGGCCTCGAAATATACTGTGGGAAGGGTTCCTGCTCTTTATCTTACTGCAAGATTCAAATTTTCTATATGGTGTAAAAAAAAAAAAAACAAAAACAAAAACAAAAAATCATTAACAAGGCAGTTTTCGTGCAGTTCAGTGAAAACAAAAAATGAAGGTGAACAAATACTTAAGACTGAAATGTTATTGATCAGGCCACAGCAAATTAGCAATGCTGAGCTGAAAGATAAGCTCACAGTAGATCTCAATAGAAAACCTAAAACTTTTAAAACTTAACAAACGAGCACATACTCTAGTAATGCTAACTAACTCTTCAAACTTCCCTAGGGAAGGACTAAATCAAATAATGTGCAAACAAGTCTTCACAAGGCTGATATACAAAAGCTCAAGGTTTTAGGTAACATGATTTAAAACAAACACCACCATCACAAGTTTTGGTGATTAGACAAGTTTTTAGTGCACAAAAAGTTGGTAAAGTGTTTATATTTTCAGAAGTAATTTAAAATATTGCCCTAATATTTTCAATGTAATGGCAACATCATATATATATGAAAGTATTACATTAATACATGATTCCTGGAGAGTATTTGAATTAATTCCAAATCTAGCCAGCATGTCTCCTAAAAGGGACCAAGTTTTCACTTGTCATACACACATAAAACACATAAGAAGTAGAATTTGTCCTCGAAGCCATGTAGTTATGAAGCTGTAGTGAATAGCAGCAACAATGCCAATACCTGTGAGTCAAACCCATGCCCTAATTCAGCACAGAGGTTTGACTCTGAAGCTGGTTCATAGATATATGCAACAGAAAACTGTATGTTTTGTTCAAAATTTACCCTGTGCTACAGGGATCTTATTTCTTTCAAACTCTGAGACCTACAAAAAATAGCTTGTGTTTAATCTATGGGGGAAAATGCTGCTCCTGAAAGTTGGTATCTAAGTTGCCTCTTAATTAATTACCACAGAGACTCTGAAAATAAGGCAGAAGAGAGAAAAGACAGAAGAAAACAAATTATACTTTAAATAAAATTGGAGAATAAGTTGCACTATAAGCTATTTTAAGATCTAGCACCAGCAGACTTCTACAAACTCTTTTACAAAGAAAGAACCCAGAACTCACTCAGTGCTGCCAAGTGAACCAAGATGCTCAATTTAATATTGTCAAAAAAATACCATTATTTCATTGTCATAAAAAAATATGCACTGGAAAAAAATGTTTTTCAAGGGAACATTTATTTTTCTCCCTTCTTCTTGAAATACCTCCTTGACACCAATCAAGTAATCCAAAATCATTTCCTGCTCCACAGCAGAGTGGAGTATCATAGAGATATGAGAAGACCTGTGTGACATGTTTGCTTCTACAGTAGTGTGAAGTCAAATAGCCAGTTACTCTAATATCAAACAGAATTTCCCTGATGATTCTTCCTTCTGAACCATGAATTTGAAGCAATAAACTTCAAGGACAACTTCCCCCCACCTGAGGTTAGAAACAGGCACATGACTGCAGTGGGATGCGTGACCTTGAGCAGAGTCTAGGCAGTTCTCAGCACTTTGAGACACACAATAACTCACCTGCATCCAAGCATCAGCTGGAGATGCTTGTCTGCACCATGAAAAAAATCTTGGGCATCAATTTTTGGTTGCATTAACGAGCCCATAACCCAAAAAGTATATATGGCAACCCAGTGACTAAACAAAAGGCACTATCTTAAACATCTAAGCATAACTGATTATTCCACATTGAGGCTACAATTATTCAGCACAAAGTGAGTCAAATGTAAAAGAACTTACTGAACTGAGGTCACAGCTGACTGAAGTCACACCCTGCTGCAGTATTTACAGTGCACTGAGGTAACTCAGCAATTGTTTCGTGGAAGAAAATAGACTGAAAAAATAACAGATTCCACGATCTGCGGGAAGAAAATAGATTTAAGCTTTTGGCATTTCATGTCCCTGATTTTGTAGTTTCAATTATTTATGTTTCTATGTACGGATACAATCTTCTCATCCACTAATCTGGGCCAAGCCCTTCCTCTACATGCATTACCATGATGAAATCATATATTTAGCTAATGTCAAATTTTTGATGTTTTGTTTTAAATTACCTGATCAAATGCGCAAATGTGATTTCCCCCCCCGAATCCATTAACAAATTCACATTTCCAAAATCAGTCCCTGATGTGAATGCCCAGGCTTGGCAAGTTTACAGGCCTGACTTTCAGAAGCATTTATACTTTTTTAAAATTTAAGGCCTTTATAATCACATACTAGGTTTCCAGCAAACATCCAGTGATTAAAGATGACAAAATTAGAAACTTTTATAAAAGATAAATTGTAAGCAGTGCAAAATGGTTTTGGCTCCGATTTCCTCTAATCATGGAGTTTGAATATTCACATATCACAAAAAAACTTTGCCCAGGAATTTGTCATTGCTGGTTACCAAGACAAATTGAACAAACTATCACTAGAAAGGGATTCTGAAATGCTAAAACCAGGTACTTTATTGCAATTTACTCATTCATTCAACTGAAAATACTTGCTGAGGCATTTTCAATGTAAAATTTTCTTTATACTGGTGTCAGATAGTTTCCCAATGGAAACCTCAGTTTGGGTCAGGAGCCCAAGATACTACCCTGCTCTCAGGAAACCTCAGAGGAGCTCTTTTTTTGTAAAGCTCCAACAGGTTTTGAAGGCAGATAACTTTCCCAAATCTTTCAGAACATGGATTCACTGTTCTTCAACTGGTTCTTCTCCCAGAAATAAGTGTGTGTGAAATAAGTGTGGGTGGGAAGGTAAAAAGGAGAAAGGGAAGGAGCTAAGAGGCCATATGAGGTGATGCTTTTTGATCTTTTCCTGGTTGGAGGAGTGACAGATGAGGCTGGGGAAATCTGACTGCACCATTCAATTCCAAGCCCTTCAAGAATTGTTCTAGAGGTGATTCTAGTGATCTTAACATTACTTAAGAAATACTCACCTAAAATCTTTTTTTTCAAAGATATGGTTACCCTCCTACTGACCTAAGAATAAATAATGAGGGCTTTATCTTTCAAGTTGAGTCACTACTTCATGGGGATCTTGCACAAATGATACTGGAGATACTTCTAATACATGATGCTGAACAGAACTGTCAGACTTCAAGGGCTGCTCAACTTTGAACAGCAATGATACTGCAATGAAGTGAGCTGCTTCAATTGGAATAAGAAGGATTACCCATGGAGACAGCCCTTGAAGAATGTTGCCTTAAAAACTATCTTTCACAATGGCCTTATTCTCCTGGTTACACCCATATGGCTAGAAAATATTAGAGCCCTGCAAAAGATGCTACAGAAGGGGCATCCACAGAAAATTTTTGAGGGACAAAGGCCTGTATAAACAGAGCTTTCTCCCACATTGTTAGGCTACTAAGAAATGTTATAAAACTGCACCAGTGATTAAATTCTGTTTATAGAGTTCAGCTCTATTTGCTGAGATTGAGAAGTGTATTTTTCCCTTTTCCAGAAGGCACACTAGATAAACTTTAAACTCGTACTCTGTTTCAAAGGAAAAATATTTGTCCTACACAAAGCCTCTATTCAGCTTCCCTGTTTTTACTACAGTAAGAAAAATAGCTGTGCCCTGGATAATTTGTTCATATATGCCAATAAAAGCACATTGGATTAGAGCCAGCACTTCTAGCAAGCACCCAGACTTCTAAAATCCCATGAAAAGCAGAATTTTTTTTCTCTACTTATCCTTTTTCTATTTGCCATTCCCAGTACTTACTACTTGTTTCCATTTCATCTGCCTTTATGTTACTGTGAGAAGCAACTAGAAGAGAAAAATTAGACTAAAGAATAAAACCAAAGCTTTTAAAGAAGACGCTTTATGAAAAAGAGCTTTCAGATATTTTCATACAATGTTTCAAGTGTTAAGCACGTATAGTTTTGAGCTCAACTCTATTTAAAAATTATAAAGGAGGCTAAAGTATATTCATGTTATAGACATATAAAGAAATAAGAAACACACTGACATAAATATTTAGATACCTGTGCTTTCATGCAGGACTCTAAGCAATATGCTTCCTGCCTAACCTAGGCAGGTCTGTGGCAGACCCAGAGTAAAAAAGACCCTGGACAAAATTATTGGGAAGTTATTCAGATCATATCAATTATCTGTGCGTATGTGCTTCCCCAAAACTCAATGGCAACTTTCTAGAAAAGTTTCCCAAACAATCACAGAAATGGGGCTGAAAAGGAAAGAAGTCATCTCACGTCCTTAAGGCAGCAGCAACTGTGACAAGGTATTTCCCAAAAAGCAGTACTTTCTAACCTCTTCCTTGGGCCTTTGGTGAGAGAGGCTAAAAACCTGGGGAAATCCAGGGTCTCATTAGCCTTACTCTGAAAAGGTTTTTCTCAACAAATAAGTTAAACCCTTGTTCAATTTAAACTCCTATAATACTGCTTCTATCCACGGCATACCCAAAAAACACGTTAGGTTCTTAATTTCAGAAAAAGTCAAAAAAAAGGAAAAGGTAACAGCAACACATGACAAACCAGTGTTAAACTGGGCTTGTAAAAATATCCTATTCCTCAGTCTTGTCTGATCAAGAATAGTTGGCTTACTGCTCCCTCCTCTCTCTTTTATAACTTATCACTCACATCAACAGGCCTACAAGGATGTTGTATCATCTCATGTGTTTTTCCAGACAGGCAATCCAAAGTAAGCACACGTCAACTTCTATTTTCCCACAGGAGCCCACAAGGCAAGTTTCAGGGGGAACAATATTACAGTTACTTCATCTATATATTATCTTTCATTATCTCAGTGTTTTTCTAAACCATATCCCTTTGCTTCTTGAACTTTGTATAACCTCTTCTCTTTCCTCATATTGTTTAATTCAGCCTTATGTTTTTCTCCTCCTTTTCCTTTTTTTCATGCACACCTACAGCAGACTTTCTGGGGGAAAAAAGAAAGTTATTAGAGGAGAAATAATTCAGCTGTAGACTCAAAAATAGTTCCTGACATTGTCCAAAGTCTTTAAGATGGGGACTGAGCTTGCCATCCACACTGAGGATGTGACTGTCCTTCATCTCCTGTCTGATTGAGTTGGATGACAACTGAGAAAATTAACAATGACAATTGTAAATATTGCCTTTCCCAACAGAGAGACCAAAATAATTAGAGGTAGGATTTTATTTTTTTTTTTTGTGAATGGATATGGTAATTTATGTTGCCTGTCTGTTGCATTAAGCTTTCTGAAAGCTCATTCACAGATAGGTTTAAGGGAAATGGCAATTACTGCTCTAATTGGCTGTGCCCTCTTTCTGCCTTTACAAGAATGCAAAAAGGTGACAAAAATCTCAACTTCTTTGTAGGTGTCAGTCTGAAATCCAGGGTAAAAGAGCAAGTTGCACCTTGCAGGGATTGAGTTTATGGCCCAAGTAAAATTTAGCACAGGGATAAGGTGTTTTACTAGGACAGTAGGAAGGCTGCCAGATGCCTCACCCTTGTCCATCAACAAACAACTTAGATAGCTCCCAGACTACCCACACTTGAGTCACAGTCTAAAAATTTTCACTACAAACTAAGGACGTAGCCCTTTTGAGACTGCCTACAACCAAACTGGTAGTTAGCAAAACCCCTGCTGAGCAGAGGCCTCAAGGTCCTCAGCCACTTTCTTAGGCTCTAAACAGCTTTTAAAACCTTCTGTTCTCTCCCAGCTTACCTTTACCCATCACCAGCTATCCATATGCCACTTCACCAATGTGTTAACCCAGTTTTATTGCAAAAAGAGGTCACTATACAATGGGAAACCTCCACAGACTGCAGTCGGCATCACGGGCCAGCATGGATTTTGATCAGAGGAGCCACATCTACTGCTGCTGCAGTCTGCAGATGGATGCTGTCTGTCAGATGGCAGTGCAACAGCAGCACCTGTCTGATGTCACCTAACTGCCTCTGGCCTGGTCTCAAACACCACGTTTTGTCCTGTTTTCAAAAGCAAGTGGAGAGATGCAGTCAAGTCCTTGAGTGAGACGAGCCTCTCCAGCCACATACCCATTGCCCACCCGACAGCAAAATGGTCCCAGGGCTTCAGCTGTCCACTCTCAGTGAGGACATGGGTGAGGACAGACCTTCAGTCACAGCTCAAGCTGGTATTTCAGCAGCAAACTGCCCTGTATCATGCTCAGATCACCGTTCAGCCCTATACAGCTGTTTTGGTAAATACCCAAGTGACAGCTGGTGATGGTTTGTAAAAACCTCTTCCAAGGCAGAGAGGTTCTTTATCCTTCACCTCCTGTGTGTGGGCCTGGCTCTGGATTGCACTGAGCCACCTCCTCCAGGAGTGACCCTGTGGGCAAACCACGTCACCCACTCTGGGGATGCCGTGGCTGTTTCCCTCATCAGGCACAGAGGAAGGTTGGTGGGAGCAAAGCCATTAATTGGGATGTTGTATTGCCTGGTGGGAACACAGAGGTCACCAAATCCTTTGCTGCTCATGCACAGCAAGGTCAGTACTCCTTGCCAAAGGTGTCAGCACAATTAATAGCTAGTCAGGCTGGCCAAGCTCACTACCTTTGTGCTGTTTGTTGAAGGGAAAACAGCACAGCTGCAGTCCAGAGCACTGAAGGTGACATTTAGGTAAACTCTGTACCCAAAAAGCTTGCTTCCTTTGCCATTATTCAGCTTTGTGACTCAGTTCTTCCAGGCATATGTACACCTCAGCCAGTGCCAGGTTCTCAGGTGATGTTAACGGGAGATATGCGCATCCATTTCCTCCAAACAAAGTTAGAAATATGGAATAAGATCACAGCTCTAATCAGATTGGGGAGGTTAAGGATTACAGAAATTAGAAAGGGAGAAGGCCACTGGATTCAGCCCTTTTCCAGCTACAAGACCATCCCCCTAGTCACAAGCTTTCCGGTTTCAC